ACTGCAGAATGTAATTAGTTTTTTATTTGTTTCAAGTGTTGTATAGTCACTAGCTAGAAAAATTCATTTTATAATATGATTTCTAAGTGTGGGAGAAGCTTACATAATTATGTTCTCCCTCTTCTGTCCTGTTAACTTGCTTAATAAAAAGTTAATTGGAATTCTTTACTATAGCAACTGTAACAACAGGCATATATGTGTATATAAGCATGCATGGGAAGATATTTCTAATTTTACATTTAGGTGCTTAGTTTCCTTACTTATGAAATTTTGCTTTCCCGTGCATAATTAACTCATATGTTAGTCCCAGCCTTGTAAATTGTAGGTGCATTTTCTGTTCCAGTGCTGCAACTTGTTATTGTAAGTTCCAGTGTTGTTTCATATATTGCCAGACAACAGGCAGCTCACAGGGAGAATGGATTTTGCATGAATAGAGAAGATATTTTCCAAACAAAGAGTCGTTGGCACCTCTAATGCATATACAGAAGATCTAGAGCATTGGAGCTGGTAGAGTCTATTTGCTTGGTGTTGCCAGTAAGTGAGAACAGGGTTCTGAGAACACCTTTGCAAAAAAGAAACCTCAGGACAACAGGCTTATAAAACTAGTTTTTGTCTGACTAGTCCTTGCGGAAAGGGTCTCTGTCATGAAATGCGTTGTAAAACAAATACGAGTGAGGAAGAGCAGCCATAGAGCAGGGATGCAGGAAATGTCTGGAGCTCGGAGGTCACATTAGCTCTCTGAACCTGCTGAAGGCTGCACCCTGTCCACTGCTCTTGAGTTTCAGCAGCATCTCATGCAGATTTTATGTTTTCTTTGCACTTTATATTAAAGAGAAAACACTTTTTGCTGCCACTTGAGAGTGACACTGGGGAGCTTCAAAGGCTGTGAAGACAGGTCTATGGAGTGAGGAAAGTGTGGCCTTAGAAATCTTGGGAAATTCTTTTATAGCATGTCTTCTATAACCTGAAGAAACATGCATTTTAGGAATATAATTTTTTTTTCTGTATTCACTGCTGTGGCTGATGGTGGATGAACATACTGTACATTTATGTCTCTAACTGCTTTAGGAGGCATGTCATATTAAATATCCTTCATTATTATAATGCCACTTCAACAGCTAGGGTGATACATAACAGTCAGTGACACAATAGCAGGTGTGTCACAAAAATATGCCTTCAGCAGGTTCCTAGTAGGGGATACCCTTTCTGTTTTAGTGCAGCACTGGAGGCCACTGGCTTTTTCTGTCAGCATGCTGGGCTTTGCGTACATTCAGCCCCAAGCCACCTTGTTCCTTCCCTGAGTACAGTTAAAGCTTAGCACAACTGGGGAAGATTTCACCCCCCTCACTTTGTAGATTACATGAGAGCCGTAAGTGACACAGGACAGAAGTAGGAAGTGTTTATATATATGTGACTGTATGTCTGTGTCTAAGTCCAAAATAAATACTTTACTTCAACATTTTGGTTAAATGTTGTGTGGTTGATCTCGGGTTACTGGAGCATAGTGAGTACAAAAACATTAAAACGTTCAAGGTGCTGAGCATACTACTTCTTGGCTGTGAACATGGATTTTTCAAGTGTGTAGAGAAACTGCAAAATAAAAAATGCTTTTGCAGAAATGATGACATCCATTTGATGACATTCCTTGGCAGTAGTGCTCTGGATACAAACATCAGTCGGTGTTCATGCTGCCCATTTCAATCGCCAGCACTCTGTGAATTTATGATGACCCGGTCTTTTAGCTGTCTGTCTCTTTTAATGAAAAGAGTTCCAACTGAAATACAGGCAGTAAGTTTTAAGAACTATTATAGACACAAGCTATACTACTTGCGGATTTAAAATGGGGAGGGTGGCAACCTCTACAGAACTACATCCTCCCTCAATAACCTGATGAATCAAAAATATTTTTCTTTTGAAATGTTTTTTTTAAACTGAAAAAAAAGTTTATTCTTTTTTACCACTTTAAAAGAAAATTCAGGTGTGGGCCCACAGGGATGCTAAAAGACCCCAAATAAGGGGGGGGGTGATTTCCGTGCCTTCTGGAACACATTTTTGGGACATATTCAAAACTTAAGAATGAAAAAAATTGGGAAGAGGGGGCTGGAGGTGGTGCTTGAGCCTCATCGCAACCTACAGGCCACACTATGCTCGTCTATGACATAAAACAATTAGGCAGTGAACTTTAAGTATAAGAAGCATCTGTTCTTTCTGTTGAAGTTGTGAAAAAGAGTCAATGATAATGTACACATCAATTGTGTTTCCCCCTATTAGCATATACTGTACGGAAAGCAAGTTGTGGAATAGGTTAGAGGAAACAAGTAGAACTTGGGCCATGGATGTGGAGGCTACTGTCACCAGAAGCAAGAGCTGGACTTTTCTTGGGGCCCAGGTGTGTGTGTGTGTGGGTGTTGCTGCACAATGCCTGGAGAAGATGGCTTGTGTGTGTGTGACTTGCTTCTCTCAGCACGCTGGGGAAAAAAAAGAGAAGGCTTCTACTTGGTTCTGATTTGAGGAACCGTTCTGAGCATGTACTCCTCTTGGGGAGCCAGGGTTGCAATCTCTATTTTTACTAGTTTACACTGTCACACCCACCAACATAACTTTCAGCAACAAAATGCTGAAAAATGCGGATGCTGAAAAATGTGGATTATAGCAAACATCTCCCAAACCAGACACATTCACCAACTATCCGAAAGGTATAGGGACAAAGCCCACCCACCCACCTTTCTTCTGACTAGCACAAATCCAACAGTTACCCAAGGAGTGCAGAGGCCGCCTCCACCACCATCTTGGTAAGGCCATGCACCTGCATACTGAGCTGTTTGCCGGCATGCTCTCAGGCCTCAATGCAAAGCAAGCCGGCTGGAGATGCCCCTTTCCTGTCTAGATCACCCAGCACTGATGCTTTGTCTAACCTCTGGGTGAACCAACAGGCAGGAGGAGCCTCTCCAGAATCTCCTGGGAGAAAGCTCACAAGAAAAGAGGGCTTAAGCAGCCGGATGCTTTGCATTGTCTCTGGTTCCCTCTCGTGGCTGGTTCTGGTAAAGGATGTGATTTATTTTCCTGCATTTTAAAAATACATTTAATAATCTAATATTTGCAGACTGTGGATAAGCGAATCAGCGGATACTAGATTTTTTGCCATTTGAAAAGTATACTGATGCAAGATACACAGTTGTTTTCATTATTGCCACCTATGAGTTGATTGGCAAAACTGAACAGATTATTATTTGATTTCATTAGTTCACATATTTTTAGCAATGCTTTAAAAGCCATCAATATACTAAAGATTTTTTTAAAAAAAACAACAACACTGGCTTAGTAGATAACCTAGCAGTGTTTCTGAAATGTCATGGATACATTGAATCTTTTGCTTTGAACTTGCTAAGCAGGAATAGTTACTACTTATGCTTCCTTTACATTTCAATCCTATGTGGGTATACTAAGAAATTATTAAGTTCGGAAGGTACTGTGCAGCTATTCCATATTTCTTGCTTGCTTGCTATATTTGGATGGTAAGAAAAAAGAAGGAAGTTGCCATAGTAAATGAGAACCAGTGTAATATAGTGGATAGAATGTCAGACTAAGACTCAGGAGACTCAGGAGATGTTTACTCCTTAAACATCTCATATACTGTATCTTGAAAACCTTACTAGGATCACCCCGAGTCAGAGCAGTTTGATGGCATATAAGAACAGCAGTGGGAAAACATAGGGTTACAAATGGTAATTCTTCTAACATTATATTTGAGAAAGAGAGCAAAATATGTTTTTTTAAAAAAATAAATACATTAAAAGTAAAACTTGAGAACCAAGCAACAAACATGTAATTATTGTCAATGCAAATGACATGTATAATCTGCTTCTATCTATATTTCTAAATTAGTTTTTTTGGAGGGTATTGACTTTTGGTTAGTTTTATCCAATATGAAGCAATGCACAGACAGACAAAGTTTTACAGAAAGTCAACAAAGGTGTGATAGAAGCATCCATACCCATACTGTTGTTGTCCATAAGGTCTGCCTGTACTTTTGGCTGACTGTTATTTATGGTTAGAAAGTGATTGTTCAGTTTTTGAAGCATTGTAGTAACCTTCCCTCACATGATGCCCTCTGTTTGTTTTGGATTATAACTTCCATAACCTCCAACCAACACGACATGGTGGAAGCTGTATTCCAAAACTAGGTAGAAAGAAAGCTGCAGTTTAGTGGACTGGACATTATGACATTGGTGGGAGGGGAGAACAGCTGTGCACATAAGCAACGTAGCATTGGTTGTTGTGGGGTTTTGGGGCTCAACAAACTGCACCAGAGCACAGAGTGCTGTCCTCTGAAGATGCCGGCCACTGAGACTGGTGAAACGTCAGGAAGAACAACTGTCAGAACATGGCCAAAGAGCCCGAAAAACCCACAACAACCATCAGATCCCAGCCGTGAAAGCCTTCGCGAACACAACAGTAGCATTATCTTCAACTGGTAGTTACCACCTTATAATATATAAGGGCGGAATCATGTCCCTCCACATCAGTTGTGATACACACAACTACCTTCCCCACCTTGAAATGCATAAATCAGAACACAAGCACAAAATTCTTTTTCAAGGACCGTATTTCGTTTGTTCGCTGCCTCCCTCCCTCCCTTATGGATATACTTTCAGGGTCTACATTCCATCAGCAGGCAAGATTAAAGCAAAAAGATAGAACCAAGGTATATAAAGAGAATCAGCAGGACTGCAGTGACTATTTTCATGAACAGAGTACTCTAAAAAGCAGAAAGTTCTGTCTTATTTGAGTGGGTTTAAAAACCATCTCTATTTAGATAAAGCTTCTGAAATACTTAGGTATTTAATTTTGTGAAAATTAGTGAATCTGATAACCAAGATTCCATCCATTCATTTTAAAATGTTTTTATAAAGTTTTCTTGCCTAGTCTGGTGTAATGCTACTTTTCTTAAAATCTGAAGAAAGGCTACTGTTGAATCCACTTGTTGTTTTATCCTGCAGATTGCTTTGAAATATGATCCACAGATAGAAGAAGACCTCCGCAACTGGATCGAAGAGGTTACAGGCATGAGTATTGGAGCAAACTTTCAGCTAGGCTTAAAGGATGGCATCATACTCTGCGAGTAAGCAGCATATTATTTATTTTATGGCAGGCAGATTTCCTTTGTTCTGGATCAGTAGTATTAGTTATTGACCTTTTCAGATCCTTATTTATTCTTAAAACCAGATGTTTCTCCCTATCATTGAAGTGAGAAAGAGGAGAGCAGTGTTTCTTTATTTTTTGTAGCTGTAGAATTATAGCAGTTTAATCAATCAAATTATCCTTGTATTATTAATTTTCTTATGTCTTTAGTTTGCATATAAAATAAGAGTGTTCTTTGCCTTAGAATCCTATAACTTTGATATCCATTCTTTTAAATCTAGAATTTTAGGGATCTTGCAGTATTTTGCATGCAGTGAGTTCGCAGCAGTTTATAATGCTCTTTCTGTACAGAGGCTTTAACATGGGTTTGAATATGAAGGAATGCCATTGATCTTGTCTTAGCATAACATGGATTTTTAATTTTTTAAAATCTTTTCCCAGAATATTTGTGCAATTTTAATTGCCTAAAATTCCAGGTTTAAAAGAATGGATAGGAAAGTTACAGCTGTGTATCTGTTAGGAAAATACTGAGTTTTCAAACATTTTCAGAACTGAAGGCTGAACTTTGTACTGCTTTTGAGTATTAGTGTAGGAGTTATCATCCTCATCCTGTTCCTTCATTTCTAAAAATATAGATAAAATGGAACAATTATATATATCTCTCCCATTCACATATTAATTGGGGATTAGCCTGCTCTTTACACACAAAAAAGTAGGAAAGGTGGGAAGGAAATCAAACACCCTATCCCCCATGTTACCTTCCTCTACTTCGTCTCTTAAAGCAAATTTCCACCAGCCTGTTTCTAATTCGAGGAATGAGCCAAGCATGGACTTGAAGCATTTTGTGAGATAAGGCAGAGAAGGAGGGTGATCTGTGTACTTCCACAATCTCTTTTTCATGTACTCCCACCCATTCCCCCTCTTTGTATCCATAGCAGATACATGCCTAAAACAATATATTTGTCCCATTGTGTCTGGTTTGTTTCTAAAGCAACACAGAATATAAGTATTTTTAGTTCTGCTACTGTGGCCGGTATCCAAAGAGCAATTTAACTAGCTCTGCATATCTAATGGAGCTGTTGGCTTTTGTTTCTCAAACAGCAGATCGTCACAGCACATAGCTCTCTATAGCACATGGCAAACTGCTTCTGGAAAAAAAATGGCTGTTTTTAAAATTAAGATTGGAAGAGATTTAAACATAGCTCGGTCATTGGTTGTACTGCTAAGATTTCCAGTGTATAGTATCATGCCCATCTATTATGTAGAGCCTAAAGGACACTTTCCAATCAGAAGACTTGTATAATTACACTTTTCAAGGTTTATCTCATTTCATATTACTGATGATTGTGTGTTTCCATATTTTCCAATAAAGTGTACATAGAAAAATAACATTTCAGCAAAATGGTAGATGTCTTTTTGTCACATATTTGTATTTTACATATGGGGCAATTTGGATACACTTACAATGTGCATCCTAACTTGGTAAAGTCCACAGAACACTTAACAACTCTGCTTATTCTGCAAACTTGCCCTTTCTCAAATAATCTAGAGCCAAAATCCTGTTCCACACAGTTCATGGCAGGAGAAGGGAAGTGGTATCACTCACCAATCAGTGAGCCCCATTTCAGTTCTTGATCACACACCGAACCAATCAACTGACACACAATGAGGAAGCCAAGTGAGGACTTATTAATTAGTGGCAGGTTGCTGCTGTGAATAACATAACTCCCCTTCTGCCAACATAACCCAAAAAAGAGCAATTTGGCCTGTGTGTGTAAATGAAAGTAAATTACCAAGTTCTTTTGACCCGGACAGTAGTGGTGCTGCAAGATAACCACTCAATTGGATAATGTCTGTGCAAAAAAAGGAAGAGGAAAACGAAGGGCCTTTGTTTTTCTATTTTTGTAGGCTTATCAACAAACTTCAGCCAGGATCTGTAAAGAAAATTAATCAGTCCAAACTAAACTGGCATCAGGTAAACAATGTTTTAAATAATGTGTTCAGAATTTGTTGTGCCTCTCTCCTCAGAAGAGATAACATGTATGTGTTAAAATGTAATTAAGAATGATTATCACTTTCTGCAAATTAGACTTCAGGGCAAGCATAAATGATTCTCCTGCAAAAGCACTAATTAATGTTGAGAAATTTTACAAAATAAAAAGTTATTCAAAGTATCATTGATGGTACCTCCCACACCTAGAGGCTGCATTATGGGAACAGCATATCAAGGAGGTAGAAAATTCTTGTAGAAATTGGAGGTTTGGTTCAGGGTTTTCTCTTAATTGGAGAAATCTCTACCCTTTGTCAGATTATCCTCTATTTTTCTTTTGCTTGTTAGAGCTATACAAAATTAAATCTTTCATAGTACAAGGAATAGGATACCTCATATCCGATATTCAAGTAAAGAATCTATGGGGATTATGAAAAAGAAAGGGGGGGGAAGTCTTCTAAGTAAGTTGTTTGCCCCACTGGCTTCTGCAGCTGCCAGACAGGACATCCTTATCCATGTTAAATCAAGAAGGAGTAAGATATGCACACTTTCTGACCAACACAGTAAAGTATAAAATGGACACTGGGACCGTGGTAGTGGTGGTGGATGTGTGCCTAAAAAACCTCAAGCTTTTGTAGGGAAGTTTGTCTCACACCTAAATCAAATTTCAGCAATTGATGAGATATACTGGTGAGGGACTATAGAATGTTCTTTGCATTGAATTACCGTAATACATGTTGTCAAATCTAAACAAAGTAAAACAAAACTGCAGCTTTTAAAGACAGTGTGGGCTAAGCATCAGACAACAATTAATCTGGATTCTGTTTTAGGTAGCACATGAAACTGTCTTGAAACTAACGGTCTAATTATGAATTAAGTAAAAATCTTGTGTCACAAAACCCCAATAGAAATTATGTGGGGAATTTTTTTATGCCATTTGTCCATTCCAGATCAGACCCTTCCAGATTGTTTTTTGCTTGACAGAACCATTTATTCAAGATTTCCCCATACATTTCAATGTAGTAACTAGAGATTTAAAATTTCTGAAAATTTCATTTTTTTTCCAAGAAAAAACCAATTTTCCCTGTTTTTTTTTCAAGAAAAAAATGGAAATCTTCAGAAACCTTAAATCTCTAAAGAGATCTTAAATACATAGTCTCAGAAGTATTCCATTAAATTCTTCATGTTATATAGTTTGAATACCACGTCATAGAAATATTATTTATCATTGTAAAACAAATTCTACACACCATATTTTTTCAGTTTTTCCAGAAAAAAAACAAAAACCAAAAAAACAGCATTAGAAGAAAATGGGGGGAAAGTGTCACCCCCCCCATTTTTCTGGGTTTTTTTCCCCCCAGGCCTCCCTATCGCTAGTAATAATTTAATTCTTATGTAGCCAGAAATATTAACTTCCTGCATTTGTTTGATTTTAGCTGGAGAACATTGGAAATTTTATAAAGGCCATACAACAATATGGGATGAAACCACATGATATTTTTGAAGCAAATGATCTATTTGAGAATGGAAATATGACTCAAGTTCAGACATCGCTGGTGGCACTAGCAGGTCTGGTAAGTCCATATTAACATGAGTAACCTAATGCGTAACAATGATTCAGCTTAGATCCTTGGCCAATCAATTGCAGTTATTGACAACTGAGAATAGAAGATGTTTCAGCATCATTTGTTACCCAAAAAGATGCCTCTCTTCTCTATGATGAGGTGTTTAGATAATAGGCATGCCATTAAATTCCATAGATTGGTTCTACTCAACCAGTTGCTCTTGTAGATTGAACCCAGCAAAGCTAAAGACCAGATTTGTTTTCATAATAATTATGGGGTGTCCCCCACTTTTTATCTCTCTGCTCAACTACTAGCTAGCAAATCTGCCAGTCAAGGATATACTACTACCTTTATATAAAGTTGTGAAATCAAGGATAAGTCAAATTTTAAGGTAGTGGGTTGATTGCTGGCACAGTGTTCCATAGGCAAAAGAAATGCGTACTGGCAACATTGTCATTTTATCCTCTCTCTAGGCAAAAACCAAAGGCTTTCATACTACAATTGATATTGGTGTTAAATATGCAGAAAAACAAGCAAGAAGTTTTGATGCAGGAAAGCTTAAGGCTGGACAAAGTGTGATTGGTTTGCAGGTAAGACTAAAATCAACATTGACCAGAGCAGAATTCTGGGAAGATTCAGAAGTACTAGAACACAGTTTCAGCTACTTACTAAAAAGAAATGTAAGGTCTGGATTGTTTAGCTCATGTTTTCTTCCTTGAGAAATGAAGAATGTTCTAAGTTAAGAATGGAACAGGGTGAGGAGTTCTAATAATTTCAAAACTGTAGCAACAGGTTCAAGGTAAATACTGAATTCCATTAAATGGATGCATGGACTAACTGTTCTCCAGCTATGTGGAACAGCTGCTGTGGGTGCTCATTCTGTCTTCTCTATCTGGCAATTGTAACTTCTAGATTAGCCCCAGAACAATATACAGTGGTGCCTCGCAAGACGAATTTAATTCGTTTCGTGGTTAATGTCATCTTGCGAAAAATTTGTCTTGCGAAACACATTTTCCCATAGGAATACATTTAAATCTAATTAATGCGTTCCTATGGGCAAAAAAAGTCAGAACAAAGTCAAATTTGGTTTACAAAGGGATTATTAAGTGCTCTTTAAAGCCATACATATTGGGCAGATGATTTCACTAATTTCAATCAAAAAACGTTTAACTTTTTAAACATCATAAAAAATATTTTAAAATCAGCAAACATGAGGCAGGAACAAAAAATGGAAAACACTTGTCTTGCGAAGCATGGCCATAAGAACATTTGTCTTGCGAGTCATCAACCCTATCGCCAAAACCATTCGTCTTGCGGGTTTTTTGTCCCCTGAGGCATTCGTCTTGCGAGGCACCACTGTATTTAGATTTGTTCATATTACTTGTCATGGTTCGTGTAAAGGGTTCTTTTTTTAAAAAAAGTTATTGTTCACTAATTTTCCATGTCCATAGATGGGAACCAATAAATGTGCCAGTCAGGCCGGCATGACTGCCTACGGGACTAGGAGACATCTCTATGATCCAAAGATGCAAACTGATAAACCGTTTGACCAGACAACAATTAGCCTACAAATGGGTACTAATAAAGGTGCTAGCCAGGTAAGTAAGAGTTGTTCTACCCTCTAGATCAGTGGTTTTCAACCTTGTGTCTCCAGATGTTCTTGGATGACAAATCCCAGAAATTCTGGCCTGCACAGCTAGTAGTGAAGGCTTCTGGGAGTTTTAGTCCAAGAACTTCTGGGGACCCAAGGAACCACAACTCTAGATTGTAGTTTCTGCTATCAAACTATATTTAAGGTTGTTTCAATATTAAGGACACTGGCCTAAATTCCCAACTGGAGCAGATCATTTGAATCAATTTTTGAGTCAACATTTGTGCAAATCCCATAAATTCAACGAGTCTACTGTAGCTGCAATTATGAATTGGATTCAAACCAGTATTGTTGCGAGGAGAGACTGGCTAAATTTGTTGGTTCAAAAGACTTGTACATCCAAATCTATCTTTATTTCATGAGTTAGATCTCAAGGTAGGTCAGAGTACTTCAGTGACTACGCTCTCCCTGGCAACTTTCTGCTTTATATTCAAAATAGCCAAAGGGAGCAAAACAGCAGAGTTCAACTCAGTCTTTTTACCTTTATTAAATCAAGGCAATTCAGATTATTAGTAATTAAGAGATCTGCAGTTTTTTGGCTGGATGATGCAAAAAAATTGTAGCTCTCTGTCTTGGGCTCTCTACCATCCCCTCATTCCCTGACAAGTTACATCCCCTGAACTCTGTAAAGAGTTGGTTTGAGTACTATTCTCTGGAGGATCTCTGCTTTGTATAGAAGTAGTGAAATCCTTTTTGCTATTCTTTCCGGAAGGACTGGTAAGGAAAGCAACTCATCAGTGCTGCCACTGACCAAGAACAGTGAAGAAAATGGCTGGCTTGAATACCATTATTAAAATAATCCAGAACACCTGCCTGCCAGCACTGGTGCCAACATTGTACCCTCAGTTAATCTTTCAGAAGGGGAAGTTAACAAGAAGCTACCAAGTACTGCCAGAACAATTTTCCTTCTCACTGTACGCAACTTTACATTTGAGAGGATAGCTGGCCTTGTTACATTTACCAGCAAGTGACATTGTTCTTACCATAGTAAGCAGAATTAGTAATGCTTGTTTTTTCATCTTGACAAAAACAAGTTAATAAAAAACTTTCAGCATGCATTACTGGTATCTTCCTAGTAGTGTAATTCGTGTTATTCAGATTTCTCTAAAGTGATAAAGTAGGTGGAGGATTTCTATGATACGTCATCTCTCCCCCCCCCACCCCCGGCAACCTATCTTTGAGCTTATGGGTGGGTTTGAATATGTTTATGGCGAGAAAGGCCACATTACTCATAAACATGTTTGAACTTGCTCACGAGTTCAAATGGAGGTTGCAGGGAAAATGTGAAATGTCATAGAAATCTTCTCCCTAGTTAAGTACACTTTAAGAGTTGGCTTGTTGATTCTTAGAGTTTGTCTACGTGGGTCCTTTTGAAGCAAACTGATGTGGGCTAAATGAGGACACAGCGTTGGTTAGAGGTATGATATGCTATGCTCCCTCTAATTTTTATTTGTGCTGTGCAGGAGCCTCTCCCCATGCACTTGTGAAGGGGCAGGGCTTCTTCCAAAACAGAAAGTAAATAAACCAGCGGCTGGCTGCCCCTGTGCAGCCCCAGTAGAGCCCTGCATGCACACACCTTAGAGGGAATACTGGCGATGCGCCATTTGGTGTGATTCTCAAGCAACTCTATTTGATCTGGCTCCTTCCAGTTTGAATTTCTGATAATGTGAAGTAGCTTAATAAGCAAGCCATTTCAGCACATCAGCAAATTGAACACTTCCTTTGCTCCTCTACAGAGGGGCAGAAAAACTGAATTTTTTTTTAGACTGGTTTAGACCATCGCTAATGTACTGCATCACATATTTTAAATCTTTTTTTTCCTTAATGGACTGCTCAAGAAACTACCCACACCTGAATTCATGAATTCAGCTCTGGGCAGTTTCTTGACTAGCCTTTCAGACAAGGCAATGAAAGTATATATATTGTATTTTTTACAAATGATGCAGTGCATCAGCAATGGCTACTGTAGCCTAAAAAAAAAGTTTTCCCCTGTCCCTCTGCCAAGGGGCAAAGGAGGAGTTAAATTGACGGATCTCCTAAAGTGGCTTTCTTAATGAGCTAGTTCACAATATCAGTAATTCAAACCACATGGAGTTTTGACAGCTAGAAGGTTTGCTTTTGCTTTGTCCCCAGCAATCACACGTACTGGAAATCGACCAAACCAGAGTGATCTTACCTGCACCAAAATAGTAGAAGCCCCTGACAGAGACTTGGAATGTTGCGGGTAAGAATGCTGTGGGGACAAATTGGTCCGCTCCAGTAATTACTAGGAAAAGGAGTGAACCAACCCATCCCCACTGCTAACCAAACAATGGGCTAAATGCGCATTTGATCACAACCTTGCTTAGTACACTTACCAACTGAGCAACTTTGGCAATGTCTGACACATTTGAATTCACAAGTATTGTCTTACTGTCAGTCATTGCTAGTAGTTATTGGCTGAATACTGTTGAGATTTTACTTCAGAGTAAATGAATTCACATAGGTTATGATGGGAAATTGCAGCTACAATGGTTCCCTGCATGACAATAATTCGTTTCGGGAAAATCGCTGTTTAGCGAAATCGTCGTCATGCGAAATGTTTCCCCATTGGAATGCATTGAAACCTGCTTAATGCGTTCCAAGGGGAAAATACCTTGCTGTCCAGCGAAGATCGCCCATAGGGACTCCATTTTGCGAGCGCCAATCAGCTGTAAAAATGGCTGCCCTGCGAAGCATGGGTCCAGAAAACACAGGGCAGCCATTTTGCGGAGCCAGAAAAATCATCGTCTTGTGAACAAACGGTTCGTGAAGCATTGACCTCATCGACGTCCAGCAAAAATCCCCCATTGGAATGATTGTTTTGCGAATCACTATAGCGATCGCAAAAAGTCATCGTAATGCAGATTCGTCGTTCAGCGGGGTCATTGTCTTGCGAGGTATCACTGTAATTAACAAGATGCCTGGTCACAGAGCTGGTTGTGTGACCACGTATGCAGCTGGTGAATTGCCAGTTAGCTGCAAATTGTTGCTTTGGTTTATATGATTTTAATTACTGTACTCCAGAGTAAAATCCCAGTAGGATTGTAGCTAAAAAACCCTGAAATTTGTTTTGCTCATGCTGATCCGAAACAAATCTTTTGCTTTAGGCGGGAATGCTTGCGCCCGGGACGAGACGAGACATTTATGACCAGAAACTCACATTACAACCAATGGACAACACTACTATTTCACTACAAATGGGCACTAACAAAGTGGCTTCTCAAAAGGGAATGAGTGTGTATGGGCTTGGACGGCAAGTATACGACCCTAAGTATTGCGCTGCACCAACAGAACCTGTTATTCATAATGGGAGCCAAGGAACAGGAACTAATGGGTCGGAAATCAGTGATAGTGATTATCAGGCAGAATATCCGGATGAATATCACGGCGAGTACCAAGATGACTATCAGAGAGATTACCACGGTCAGTACAGCGACCAGGGCATTGATTATTAGAATTGCCTCAAAATCTCAGTATTAGGTTACTATTTTATTCAGTTAAAAAAATGAAACTAGCCTTGTGGAATTGTTACCCATCTTCTTTACACATTATGCTTCATGTACCTAAGGAAATATTGCCTTACATAACATTCCTTTTTCCTTTCTCTGCCCTTTCCTTCTCTAGTTGCCTTTAATGCTGTAACAGTTGCAGTCTACAGCATGACCAATAAATTGCATATGAAGTAAAAAGGAATACTGTGAAAGGGGAGTTCTCTTATACAACCAAGTCTTTTAATAATTAAAAAAACTATGCATTTTTTTACACTCTTGTCCTGAAATAGACATTTTACATACCATACTAACTAAGCCTTTTTCTTCTTAAAAACCTTTTTTATTTACAGTTCCATTCTATGGAAGAACTGTAAAAGGCTTTTTTCTGCTTAATGATAATTGTGGACTGTGCCACCAAAACTGAGGTTGCGGTTTATTACTTAAATTTGGTTTTTGTTTGTTTGTTTTTGTTTCATAAATACATGCTTGCTGAATTTTTAAGTCACAGTAGAGGTAATGAATGTGCATTTGTGATCCTGTGTATTCCATTCCAATATCTAAATTGACCAAATTTATAGAAAGAGCTGCCTTTCTTAAAAAGGAGCTTATATAAAGTTCTGAGCCCACAGAAGTCTCCATGTTTTGATGGTGCATTGATTTTTATTTTCTGTGCCATAATGTATCCATGTAGAATTGCCTTTTCTTTGAATTGTATTTATTGCCACATTTCTCATCATAAACTGATCTTGTTGTATTTTTTTATAAATAAATGTTGTTTTCTTGAAAACATGTACAAACTTGTATTATTAAATACAAACCATCCATTACAGAGACTATTCTTTTGGTATTCTAATAAGCAAGTTAAAATGCTAGCTATCTGATAGTAAGATGGCGTAATTTGCACACAGTGATGGACAGGAAATAATGTCAAAAATTAAGGTTAACTTTACTGCACAACCTCTTGGTAGACCTTCAGTAGACCTTCTTAGTAAGTACTGTGGAATTTCTACCAAAGGCCCAGAGTTTAGATGTTTGCCTGAATTCCTGTGGGCTAAGAATGCCCTAGGGATGGGATGGGGCTGTGCTTGCTGGCCTTGCCTCTGTTCTCTGCATGAATGCCAAGACTCACATCCTGCATTTATGACCTCCCAGTGTTGAGCAGGGGTGTCTGGACAGGCAGTTCTACTCACATTCTTTTGTGTGATTAAACACAAACAGGGACCTTGATGCAGCTGGACAAGGTCCTGGCAGAGTTGCAGATGGAGGAGAGAATGCTTGGTACACACAGGCATATTCGAGGGTGGACCTAGTATGTGCCATTTCATCCTGCTACACAATTTTATGGCCTTAAAGTTTCAGGGGAAGTATTTGAGGAAGTGCAGCATTATATAACTAGTTGTGCAGGTGACTAGGACATCAGAAAATACTGTTCTTAAAATGTAGAAAAGACAGATGGTAAGGATGTGATGTTCTTCAGTTCTACCTTTCCAATGTAACTCCCCTGTAAAGGTGCTGTAAAGGTAAAGGTTCCCCTTGACGTTTTTTTTTTAGTCCAGTCGTGTCCGACTCTAGGAGGTCTTCAAAAAGCAGTGTAAGATAGGAGACAGGCCTCTACTCACCTTTCCTGTTAATGTAAAGCTTCTGCTAGGTCTTGTTGCCTTCTATGCAGGAAAAGCCACTCTAGATCCAAACTTAAATTTTTTAAGGCTAAATAAGAAACATAGACTCCTGTTTCTGAGTGATTCTCAAATCTCTTATAATGGATTGTATGTCATATCTTAGAATATGGTAGCCAGTGTTTGCCTAGCAGTGGTGATATATAATTAATACCTCAAAGGTTGCTCAAGGGGTTTAGATAGGCATGCAGTTTTACTGTTCCTGGTGCTGCCCCTCCCACTGAGCAGCACATTACTTTTGAAACTCAAAGGGGGTGTAAAAGAAAAGGGGAATGTTGAGCTGTAAAATATAGTTGTTCAAAAGGGAGAAATGTGCGTAAGACATACACTCACTTGAAGATAAATAAAGGGTTTCACTGAATTATGGTGAGTAGGGCATACATGCATGTATCTAAACACTTCATATTAGTATAGTAATTGTAGTAACCCACATTGTCACATTATGGAAGAGTACCTTCCATAAAGAACTCCTCATCTACTGAAAAGATTAGTGGCAAACTCAGGGGCAGCCTCATGATGTCATGGAACAATATCCTTATAGTAATACTCTCTTTTGTGCAAAGTATAGTGTGACTGCTCTTGAACAGCCCCTAAACAACTATCATAATGACCCTTTATTCCCATGAATGCTGCTAAAGAAAAAGCACAGCAAACATATTTCACACTCTTGCATTTTTCTAGTTAGGATTTGCCTTGTTATGTGAACAGTGGTTCTCTTTTACAGGATAAAGCTGCCTGAAAAAGCACCTTTCTTTGCTTTTTCAGACAGTCCTTTCTAGACTGCTGTGGATTTGGTAGTTTAGGAAGTTAACTGAGATTTCTACAAAGAAGTGCCAGTACTGGAGTCATCCTATGAAAATTACCAAAATCCTGCTGGGGTTTCACATGGAGACAAGATAAATTACGTATGTTTTCCACAAGCATTTGCAGCTAACTGAAGGTGCTGGAAGTATGATGGAGAGCATGACTGGCATATCTCATCAGTTAGCCACAGAAACTTACATGGCTCTCCTTGCATGCGCATTTATTCCCACCAGGATTTTGGCCAATGATTACTAACAATGTGATGCTGAACTCACTGTTAAGTGTCTTTCCAGTTATCTCAGAAGATGAAAAAGGGTCAATTTGAACAGGCACTTGAGAGGAGAAATACACCCTTCAATCACAGAATTTGGCTTAAACATTAGAGTTGAAAGTCACGTACAATACTATAGTTAAAATACCAACACAGTTTCAACCATGGAAGAACAACCAGTAGATAGGACAAAGACTGGGACTTGCAAATATTCATATCCTTACTACCCAAGGAAATGCGACACAAAAAGAATTGCCTAGTGGCAAAGAGTGGGACTGTTTGGTCTGCTTTCCACTGACCAGAACGACAGTTCATGGCATGTAATAATAGAATAACAGACAGCACTGGGATGACCAATAGTAGTATCCCCTGCTGCAATACTTAGCAACAGAAGGATGCATCAACTGAGGCATCACCTTACAATGTTTAATGAAGGTAGATGAAAAAGCCCAAATGGATCTTTTACAGATGTCTTCTAGAGCAGTGATCCTCAACCTTGGGCCTCCAGATGTTCTTGGACTACAGCTCCCAGAACCCTTCACCACCACCTCTGCTGGCCAGGATTTCTGGGAGTTGAAGTCCAAGAACATCTGGAGGCCCAAGGTTTGGGACCACTGTTCTAGAAGAAGCACTAGTGACCAATATGGGAGATGTTGCTACACTCCATACAGAATTAGCCATAATCAAATAACAGTATGCCAGAGCAATATGTATTTATGCATAGGGAGTCTCTGGATACAGTCTACAGAAGAGACACAAACAAATCTTGCTGTTTGGCCATTTCAGTCAGGCCCTATGACTCGGAGAACACTTCAAGCAATAAAGCTTGGGCCCAAAAGACAGACATTTCTGTGATTGCCAAGTTGACAGAGACTGACCTAATGCCTAGATGTGATGCTTCATTAAGGTGCTGTAGGATTTCACTGTACTTTCTCTTGGCAGGTTGTCGGTATGCCACTCCTCTCTTTAACAACTACTGCCTTGGAGGTGATTAGAGCTACCATGGCATTGAGCCTAAAGAATTTTAATTGGTTCACAACCTCTTATGAAAGAAAACAAAGGTTCTTGGTAAAAAAAAAAACTTAGCAGACTTTTGTCTCTTCCATCCCTTCCACCTGGCATCAAGCAGCATTATGAAAAAACAGAAGGGACAACTGGAAAGCTGAAGCAGCCAAGAACTTTTAACAGTTCAAGGATCTTAATGGCCTTATTTCAAATGATATAAAAAGCAGCAACATTCCATTCAAACAGCTTTCTCTGTGGGAAAGAGCAATTAAATCCAAGTCCTCAAAGAAGGATTGCAGACACCCCCCTATTGCCCAGTATTTACTGCCAAAATCCCAGTCCCCATTGTCAGGGGATGGTTTACAATGGGGCTGGTGGGGGCAATATGAAATTAGAAGCATGCTTATTCTATGCCCCCAGTGTCTGCATTTGCTGTACACCTGTTGCCTCTGGAAAAAGAAGATGAAGCATTGCTAGAAGCTAAAGAATATCCCCTCCTCCCCCACCTCTTGTCCCCTGGCACAATTTCTGCCTTTGATCAGAGCAATTAACAACTAGCAAACAGCCCCAGAATCATTGTGGGAGGAGACGCTGAACATGAGACTTGGACAAGGTCCATTAGATTGTTGTTGAATTCAGAGCTGTCTCCATCGGTGCCAAACAGTGCTACAATACAGCAGCAGTGGCCAGCAAAGCACGCATAGCTTTGGTACTTTACACACTTCTTACTGGGAGATAGAAGTGATTAACAGCCAGAACATGTACACAGGAGAAAGTAGCCAAGCTTCTGTACCGTCAGGCTACCAGCAGCAGCTAGAGAACCAAAGCAGAGAATGTCTCTCTCAGCTTTGATAAGCCACTTGCATGGGATAAGGCAGGAAACATTAAGATTTTCCAGACCACAAAAGCCTGTTTGTTGTAAGTGAGACAAGAAATTGTGCAGATCTGTGTTCTTCTGCCTTAAGGAAACACAGAGCATCAGCTGGAGGAACCAGAGCTAGAGACCCAGTGGGCCCATTAATGAAGAAGGTAAATGAAAATAAATAAAATACTGTACATTTACCAGGTCAAAGGCCACTAGGGTTTAGCTTGCTCTTCTGAAGGCAGCGCCAGCAGTCAAAACCTTTTGTAAATTGCTAACATCATAAAACGACTATACAATTATCTGTAGACTTGCCTTCTTAGGTTTGGAGAATCTCCTGTTGGCTATACTCTTATGTTTACAAATAATTCTTAGTTGTTTCATTCCTCAGGGTATTCTTTAACACAGGGGTCCCTCTAACAATACTTCTAAATTTAGCATATGGCTATTCATTTTTTGGATGCTATCTTGATCACCGTTATCAAATGAGGCTCTGCTGTGTATACAATATATATTGTGATTCATCACCTTCAATGTTATTTTGTTAAAGTCCAGCTCTTCTGTTGTATCCAAGTACAATGACAAAACAAAAAGCAGACTTGATAATTAATACTATTTTATAAAAACACCTTAAATAGTATTTTAACAAAACCACGTGGGCTGAAAAATTGTTGTAGAGAGTGCCATTGGATTTAATAATCTCTTCTAGTGCAAAAAGTAGAACCCAAGGCAGGACATAATTTCTTCAATTCACTTTTGTTGCTGCTGTTATGCAGATCATAGCTTTAAAGCTGTCTCACGTTCTTGTCTGTAAGTAGGAAGCAAAATGCATACAGTTAGTCATAATGTTAACACAAAGCTTGTTCAATAACACAAAGCTTATGAAGGGATAAAAAGAGAACATTTGGTATAGAAATGATACTTTTATGCATTCCACTAGTATATGTATGACTTTTATTTTTACGTTTGGGGGCAAAAATGCATAAAGATCCACATAATGAATAAACCAAGCATAGCCTCTCATAAACATAATAAACGTAAATACATTCCAGACTGCCAGACCAGATTATTGCTTCCATATACCAGAAAGGTCTGAAAAACTAAGCCTGCCAGAGTTTGCAACTGGCAGAAAAATCCAGAAATACCACCACTACGTGAGGATTTTCTTTTCTGGCATGAACTATTTTGGCAGAAACAGGGATAGCTGCTACTGTAAAAACCTCACACAGAGAAACTGCTTTTCAGAGGCTCTTCTTCCACTCAGATACCAATTATGTTACACAGATATATAAACTGGGCTCCAACTAAATGCCCCTTGGGAAAAGGGAAGGTGTAACAGTTGTCCATCATGGGCATTATCTGGTAGCGCTCATCATCAGCTTTTGTTATTGATTTTTTACTTTTGATCTCTTGTCACACGGCTGTGGTGGATGGAGAAGAGTGTCCTCTCTCTTTTAGATCCCAAGCAACTAAAACATTGCTTAATTCAAACATACTTTTATGGACAAATATGGAAACATCCTTGTGTATTAGTAGAATACATATTAGAATGAAGCCTTGGGACTTGAAAAGGTTTTTCACCCGTTTTGTTTTGCTTTGCTTGGTCTTCTTGTATCTACTACAGATTTTGCACAGGAAGATAAAGGCAGATGATGATCAAAACTACACAAGCATTTGGGCCTTGCTTGTGCTGGACCTGACAACCAATATCATATACATATAAAGAGACCTTCGGGTAGTGTGGGCGGCATATAAGTTAAATAAATAAATAAATAAATAAATAAAGCAAGCAAGCAAGCAAGCAAGCAAAGAACAGAATGCAGGGTCACTCAAGATACAAAGCAGCTGGTGGGGTAGGTCAATGAGTTAAGCATCTGGCTGCAGAGCTAGAGCTCGGGGAACTGAACTGGAGTTCAGTTCCACAATGTGCATCCCAGAAGAGCCAGCTTGGGCAAGCTGCACATTCTGAGGATGCTCCCAGAAGAAGGGAATGGAACAACTTTTATATATAATGCAGTTTGTTATATATTTGGTTGCTTTGTGTGTGTGTGTTGCAATTTTTCAAAAACTTTAAAAACATTTAAGGGAATGATAAGCTACTTTCTACCTAGAAAACCTTGAAAAGTGTCACCGTGAGTCAGAACTGACTAGACTGCACACAATTAATAGTATGATTAAGATACAAAGGAAAAGGAGTGTTCTTCTACTGCTAATGGTTCTACAGAAGAGGAATAACTGCACAGAATTTTTCACCCCTGCACAGCAAGCTATCTCAATATGTTCTCTCTTTTGCACAAGTATGAACAGACCTCTTTCCTCTGTGATCTTCCTATCAGTCTTATGAGAGCACCACATGGGGATACATTTGTTCCACATTTGGTTCAGAAGCCTAACCTCAGTGGCAAGACCGTAAACATCAGACATGCAGAAGTAATGAGGATTGCTCAGTTCCTCTAAGAATGTACAAAGTGCTTTTGCATGGAAACTTTTTTTTTCAGTACTGGTAAATGAGCAGCTGAGGTGACATAATCTCACCCACCACTTCAGGAAGGAAGCAATGTGTCACCACACCATCATCCTGGAAAGGATGGCAACCTTTCCAGGTTGGTTCCTTTCCAGGTTGTGGCAACAGCACCTCCACACAATTCCCCACGGTGCTGCTAGAGAAGGAAGTGATGCGCAACATGGCAAAGTAACCACCCAGAACTCTACGCCTATTTTTGGAAAAAAATATGTCTTCGAAAGGTGGTCTCACACCTGAAAGAAATGGGAGGATGTCCAAAGAAAATACAGCACAAAGGATTTCTCTGATCTTCCTTCTATCCACCTTCAGTTTGTTTTGGAGACAGTTTTGGTTTGTTTTACCTTTAAAAAGTGGGCTCTAACTGAATCCGGTTGCTGTGTCACACAGCCTGCCTCTTTATTCTTTAGTAGCAGCATGTGGGGAAGGACATGAAGGTGCCTTCGACTCAAATGGACAGGGACTGGGTGTTTCAGTGGCAGCAGTAGCAACAGGCAATATAATATGAAGTATATATATGTGTGTGTGTGTGTGTACATATATATATATTTGTGTATATTTTATATATATAACACATTGCCTCTCTGAGCTTTGTTTCTTACCATAGGTTGAAGTTCTGTGCCATATTCACTATTATGCACTGTTTTCTTATTTTTATGCTTGATCTCTTGTGCAAGCTTGCAGCTCTGATACACAACAGTCTGAAAGGAACAAAGACCAATAGGTCAATAATAGATGAAGATCAATATTCCACTTATCAGACAAAATTTGCTTTCTGATGTTTCAAGAGTTAAGAAAACTTATCTTCTCAACAAAACAAGTAGACTGCTGCTGTGTTGATCCTATAAAACATGCTCTACCAAAGCAACTTCAAATTAACATGATTTAGCATTCAAATGTTTGCATTCTTCCATGCTATCAAATGTTCATATTGTGAGGGGACGCTCTGGTTGCCTCCAGAGGGCCACCTGCTTCATCCCCCACACCTCTCCAGTGGACTACCCAGAGACCCTGGCAGCAAGGAAGCCTGAGGACAGGGAAGGCGGGACGGGATGCCCAGGTGGGAGCCAAGAAAGTGAGGGCACAACTGGACCACAACAAAGCCAGCCTTGAAGGAGGAAAAAGAAGAAGATGAGAGGCAGTTCATTGCCTCCATTGGGGACAGGGTCAAAGAGTTAGTCCAAGGTTTGAGGGAAGTCCCCTTCCATCCGTTCCCTGGGGAGAAACTGGCTCTTTCTCCTCCAAGACCCATGGACTAGGAGAAGGGGAACAGGGCATTTCACCTTCTACTGTCACCTGTTTTGTTACCTAAATAAATGCCGGTGATGACAAAAGCTGAGTGTCAGGAATCTATGCAGCCTATGATTGAAGAGGCCACTTCGCCATCCCTCCCCAAAACAAGAGTGGCAGGTGTTACAGGATACATTTAAAATATGTAACTAAAACTGAAATCTTAAGTACTGTTATGAGAAAGCCCCATTACGTTTCATGGGGTCCTTTTTGTGCAGGACTAGGCTGCATGTTTTTAATCACAGACATACTTGACAGGACATTCCTCTGAAACGAAGTGTCATTTACTTCTAATTAAACATTTTTGATTAGAGTGTCAGTTCATATATAAATAATTGCAAGAAACGACTAGGCGGCATGTTTTTAATCACAGACATATTTGACAGGACGTTCCTCTGAAACTGTCATATACTTCCAATTAAACATTTTTTATTAGAGGGTCAGTTCATATATAAATAATTGCAAGAAAACCATATTAAATGTACACTCTGCAAAATGGACAATGTCAGACATCAGCTATAAATTCTCTTTCACAGGTTACATATTTAATGAAAACATAATTAAAGCTAAAATTTATCCAAGTTTACTGTAAAGAATCATGAGATGAGAAGCAAATTATCACAGAAATTTAGGGAGTTCAAGCTCTAAGGTCAACTTTACTGAAAGTCTGACTTGGAGTTTACTTAGTTTCCATGAATGATAATTAGTTAGCAAAAGTAAGCAGTCCCAAAAATTCACAAATGAGTACCACTATTGGAAGCAGACGTATGCTTCACAACACCATGGCAACTATGGCAAATTAAGTTACATATGTTCATAAAAATATAAAACAACAACAATAAGAAACCAGTGGCTCATACAAGTGGGCTTCTAAATCAGTCACACCAAATTCGCTAAGCATCAAATGCAAAAAATTTAATTTATTATACACAAATGATGCAGAAATTATATGTCCCATCTACTTAATTGCTCTCTTGAATGAATAGTTCTTCTGTCCGTAGCATAGGAAGTAGGGGAGAGATTAAAGTGACATTTAAGGTCAGATAATTTGGTACAGTGGGGTCTCTACTTAAGAACGTCCCTACTTAAGAACAATCCAACTTAAGAACAGCTCCATTTGCTAAATTTTGCTTCTACTTGAGAACAGAAATCCAAGATAAGAACAGGAAAAAAAACCTTTCCTGCTCTTTTTTTAACCTTAGGTCATGCATTTAAGGTCAGATAATTTGGTATCTGGTTCGCTACCACATGAACCAAGGTGCAAGGCTAGATAGACCTGAAGCATTTCTTCAAGCAAACTTAAGTTCTGTCTTTGTAGATGCTTACCATTAATTCCTGGTCCATAAAATATGGCTTCTCTGGAGAGCCATCGTTTGTTTCTATGTCAACAGCAAAGCAAAGGAATAAGACATCTAATATTGTCTGAAATACTGATAAAAAGCCGTGTGCCACAAGATAAGCCAAGAAGGCTATCAAACTTGAGAACCACCCTCCAATACGGATTAAGTTCTTAAGTAGAGACCCCACTGTATCTGGTTCGCTACACCATGAACCAAGGTGCAAGGCTAGATAGACTTGAAGCATTTCTTCAAGCAAACTTAAGTTCTGTCTTTGTAGATGCTTACCATTAATTCCTGGTTCATAAAATATGGCTTCTCTGGAGAGCCATCGTTTGTTTCTATGTCAACAGCAAAGCAAAGGAATAAGACATCTAATATTGTCTGAAATACTGATAAAAAGCCGTGTGCCACAAGATAAGCCAAGAAGGCTATCAGCAGCAATGGAACTACCCAAACGTGTAGATCACGGTGATAATTAAATGCCATCAAGCCTCCAAAAACTGTGAAACATACCACAAACACCTGTATGAAAATAAAAGAATATGCTACATTTTAGAGAAATTATTGCAGAGATGTCAATCGAATAACAATATAATATCTG